TCTCATCTGTTTTCTCTCTCTGTCTCTCTCGCTCATCTCTCTCTGTCTCTCTCTTATCTCTATCTCTCTCCATTTCTTTTTTCCTCTCTCTCTCTTTATCTTTTCTATCTCTCTCGCTCATTTCTTTTCTCTTTCTGTCTCTCTCTTTTTCTGTGTCTCTCTCTCGCTCATCTCTTTTCGCTCTATTTCTCTCTCTTTTTGTCTATCTCTCGCTCATCTTTTTGTTTCTCTCTCTTTTTCTATCTCTCATCTCTCTCTCCTCTCTTTCTCTCTCTACTTCTTTTTCTGTCTATCTCTCTCTCCCTGTCTCTCTCTCACTCATCACTCTTCTCTATCTCTCTCTGTCTACTTGTCTATTTGTCTATTTCTCTCTTACTATGTTCGTCTTGCTCACTCTCTTACTCCATCTTCTCTATTTATCGAGCTCCTTCTCGATTTATCGATCCACTATAAGAAAATACACTTTTAGCAACCTTTTCTATCTCTCTCTCTCGCTCATCACTCTATCTCTGTCTCTCTCTCTTCTCTCTCTCTTTTATCTGTCTCTCACAAAATTAAAATATTTTTAAAATATTTAAATATTTAAAATATTTAAAAAATTGATTTGAATTAAGTTTTGAAAAGAGTTTTGAATTATCTGTCTTCTTTATTTATTGAGCTCCCTTTCGATTTATCGATCCACTACAAAAAAATGCACTTTTAGCGACCACTTTGTCTCTTTAGTCACCAAAACTAAAAAATTTGGGGGATTAATTTCAAAATTTGGAGAGATTTTATAAAAAATTGGCGACTAATTGACATCTAGTCGCTAATGGTCTTTTCGGTAAATTACATTTTTGGCTACAAAAAGTTTAGTCGGTAAAGGCTGATCATGCATTCATTTCCCGACTAAAAATAATTTAGTCGCTGTTAGTATACAATTTAGGCTAAAAAAAAAAATTAACCTGTAATATATAATTTTCCCGACTAAAATAGTACTTAGTCGCGAAATATGACTTTTAGCGACCAAAACTTTCGTCGCTGTTGAGTGATAATTCATTCCTTTCCCGACTAAGTAGAAAATTAGTCGTAAAGGTTGAAATTTCAACTCGCGCGCCCACTTCATTAATTCGACCCGCGCGTTTATCTGTAGGCAACAGTATCACACACAAGTGATCATTACCCACAGTGTTCCCCTACCCTCAGAAACAAAACAAAAAAAACCCTAGAGAGCCGTCGAGGCAGAACCTTGAAGCAAGGGTTTGGGCAGTGAACCAGAGGCTACCGATCAAGATGGTAAGACAGATCGCTGATTAGAGATACTGATTTCTCAGTTTTACTACCAATTATCATCGATCAATCAATCAATCAAAACTCTGAATCTATATATGTATGTATCTCTGTTTTTGTGCAGACTTTCAAGCGAAGGAATGGCGGCCGCAACAAGCACGCCCGTGGCCATGTAAAGTTCATCCGTTGCTCCACCCAACTGCGGCAAATGCTGCCCCAAGGTCTCCTCTCTCTCTCTCTCTCTCTCTCTCTCGCTCGCTCTCTCTCTCTCTCTCTGTACTTACATGTAACTGTGTGCATGAATGTTTATGATTGATTTGAATTGCTATGCCAGTGATAGAAACTGTAGTTGATGTTCCTTTGATACTGAATTTGCTTCGAAAGCTCAATTTTTTTTTAAGATCATCTCATCTGTGTTCATTTGTTTTGGATTAATGGGAATTTTTATGCTGGTAACTCTGCCAATGCATCACTGTGGGTAATTGGCTAAATGGTTTGGATATTTTTGTATCAATTGATTGGGGTTGATATGAAGGGGTTGGTTTGTTAATTATTTTTTAGTAGCATTTTTTAGATAAAAGCGAGAGGACAAATGTTGACCAAGTCTGTTTTGGTGCTGTCTGCCTGTAGATGCTTTGAGAGGACAAAAAATCATTAACTTCTTTGATGAATCAGTTTTGCAAATTTAATTATACATGTTTTGGTTGGCAGGTCTTTAAGCATTATTTTGAAGAGTTAGAAGAGGAACCACTTAGACATAACTTTGTTGTAGTGGTAAGTTAATTTATCAATTCTTTTTTCTATCAAGGTCTTTTGTTTTGATTGTGATACTAATAATTGTTTGGAAGAAGCTTTACTGATGCTTTTTCATTTGGTAGTACGAACTACTTGATGAGATGATGGACTTTGGCTACCCTCAATACACTGAAGCAAAGATTCTAAGTGAATTTATTAAGACCGATGCTTATAGGATGGAAGTGACACAGAGGCCACCTATGGCTGTGACAAATGCTGTGTCTTGGCGCAGTGACGGCATAAATTATAAAAAGAATGAAGTACGTGTATTCTTGTGAGAGATATTAACTGATATTGAAGCCACTGGATTATTTAGAATGAAGTACGTGTATTTTTGTGTTTCATGGAAGAACACGGGTTGAATCCTTGAGTAATTATAGAATCCAAAAATTCTTCGCTCTGCTGAAAGGTTTACTGGTTTGAGTTTATTATAATCCTAAAATTAAGATATCATGCTAGGCTCACTAATTATCTATATACTAACTAAAGAGTTGGTCACATTGCCTTATCTGCTTGTTGCATCCAAACCCTAAGGTCTGGAGTCTGTCATATGGATGTATAGATATGCAGATTAAGGTTTGATTAGAATACTAGAAGGCAGCTTGGCCAGACTGGTCCTTGACAAATAACATTTTATGTTGAATACTAACATGTCAATATTGGGCAAAACTTGATTTTGTTAAAATATGCAATTAATATTATGTACTTGTGCAGAAGTTATGATGCGATTTGAGCTGTTCTGTAAGGGTGGTGTTTGGCCACATAGGCCCATTGAGATTCATTTTGGTTCTTCAGTTGCAATGGGTATTTGAGGTACTTCTCCAATTCTTCAATTCTCCATTCCTTTAAATTAATTATGAATAGAGTAGTTTAATGGTTGTCAATAATCCTTTGGTCACAGTTGTATATATCCATTTAGATTTAACTAACAGACTCCATGTATTAGTTTGAATACATCATGGTTAATATAAAAGAAATCAAATAAATTGCTAATGTTTTTTGCTGCAAATAATATCAGAGCTTTCTTGGTGGAAAAATGTATGAATGATACTCTCATAAGTTTGTGGAGGAGAACAAAATGTGTAGGAATATTGTTCTCAATACACAGGAGCTGCTATTAGACATCACTTTGAACCAATTGCCTTCGGTCTCATAGAAACCAAAGAAATTGAACAAAATCAACTTGCCCGGAGCACCTAGTTCTCTTTATTATACTGCAATCTATTAATTAGAGACCAGTTCAAAGAATGTCCATCACCTCATTCACTCGTTATTGTTTCTGTGCTCACCACAAATACTGAGTCCACATCCAGCTATCTGTCCATCACCTCATTCAAAGAATGTCCATCAACTCAGCTTTGGTTGGTTGGTCCAACCCTTGTAATCTGTTGTACTTGCAAACTAAGCCAACCGGATAATTCCCAATCTCTCTTCTGGATCAAGCTATCTGCAGACTCACTTGAATTGTCTGGTTTTCTTTTTCTTTTTTTCTTTAAAGGTGTAGAATTGTATATTCTTTTATTGCATCTTTCATATCCTGCTTGAGTGGAAAGTAATGCTGTGAACTACTCCATATATGTGTGGTTAATTTATTTTTTTTCTTAAAGAAAAGCCAAAAATCTTGATTTCTTTTTTGTTTTCATTGATCAGTTTGACAAATCTTATAAACATGTGTCTTGTTTTGTTTAGTTTGTGTGGAGGCAGAGGAGGAGGGCCTTTTGTGATTAGCTCCATTACATTTGATGTGGCTCATTTGAAGACAGCGTAATAGGAAGACCTTTTGAGGAGTTGAACAACCCCTTTATAGGCTTGAGAGGTTCTTTTTGTTGGTATAGTTAGATTTAGGGAAGGTTATACTTGACATGGATAATTTCGTCGGCTTGGTGGATTCTCTTCATTTGTAGGAACAAAGTACATTGTGACCCTAGTTTTACAATACTTATTTATTAATGACTAAAGTAAACAAACCCAGATCCTTTAAATATATATATTTTAATAATATTGTGGATGTCTAGAGCTTGATGTTTTTGTTTTTCCTTTTTAGTTACAAAATTTTGACAGGTGATAGACTTCCCATATTTCTATAAGCTTAAGGAATTTTGACCAATTAGAATATTCTAGAGCTAACAAAGACTCCACAGAATAAAACTTAAACTAACCCTAAACACGATAACATAATACTTCATGTGAAATTCAGATTTACCTTCTTCTTTTTTTTTTTCCCTCTTGTCATCACTGATCCAAAACCCACCATTGCTGTCTCTAATATTAACTACATGATTCTAATAAGATTTTTATTTGCTTGTTTGTTTGTTTTGTGTGTGTTTTTCTTTACATTTATTTTTGATCAAGTTGTTTTATAATCGAAGTTATTGTGATGTGGGGTTCTCTATGAGTTTTAATATGATTGCCTAAACTCAACTCAGAATGAAGAAATTATGATGTGGCTTTTGTGAAATTCTATTGTGTTGAAGATGGAAATTATTCTTATCTCTGGGCATTCATTTCATGTTTAGATTAGATATAAAAGCTGCTTCTGCAGTAACTTATTATACTGATAAACGGAAATTGTTTATCTCCCTAAGTACTTATTAAGATATATTATAGAAACTATTTTCTGTGCACTACCATAGTCACAAAGATAACCTCATGGTGGTTTTAACATCACTTGATTACGGTTTATCTTTTTCATTGATTTCAGGTTCATGGTTTATGTATAAACATGTTTTTCCCCTCTCTCCCACTAATGACATGATAACGACATCTATTGAAGTGTCTATTTTGAGTTATATTTTTATTCTAATGGAGTTGGCTATCTTATCGATTTTGAGTTCGAACAAGTGTTTGCGTTTTCATTTTAGCACATGATTATTTGTTAAAATTTGTTCTTTTTCTTTGGTAGGTTGTTACAATTATTATATTTTGCTTGTTGGTTATCGCATTCTATGCTTTCTTTGCCCCTTTCCTTGGAGGCCAAATCTGGGAGTATGCCTTGTTTGGCACTTATTCGCTGGTGGTAAGTGGATTTATTTGATTTGAATTATGGGCTTGCGCTTTTAGCATTTATTTTTTCAATAGCATTTGGAAAATGAATAGTTGATCTGGGAATTAGTTCTTATGAATTCCATCTATTTTATACAAGAAAAGCAAGACCTATTTATACAAGTTTTATAATTCCTTTTAGCATGCTTCCTTTTTTAAAGGGGGAAAAAAAAGAAAGAATGAAGAGAAATTAATCATGACATACTTTTTCATGAAATAGTTCGACGGTTCAATTCTCATTCATCTTGTGCTTTCTTTTGTGTTATTATGTTAATAGTGCCAACTACTGCTATCATATCATATTCACACAACTTCATTATTATGATTATTACTATTTTTTTGGGGGTGGAAGGAGGAGCTATGAAAATCATGATGACATGTAAAGGACATGAAACTAATTGGATTCAAATTTGGGTCCGTCTGGAAAGGAGATAGGAGGACCATAGGCCACTAGGATGTCTCCTTTGGAATGATACTTCTTCACTCAACAGCCAGAGAACTCCAGATTAAAAAAATAAGTTGTATTTCAAGAATGGCATCTAATGGCATCTAATCAATACCAACTTTGCCTCCACTCAACTGTGACATTGAAGGCTATAACCTGCATTGCCAGCATCCATCTACTGCCTTACCCTCTCACCTGCTTCACCTCAAAGCCTTATTAGTTGTGTTTCAAGAATATGTCTATCCTGGCCTTTTTAATTTACACTAGATGCATTTCATGCTGCAGGTGCGCAAGTTCAGCAAACACTGCAGAAGTTGTGATAAATGTGTGGATGGATTTGATCACCATTGTCGGGTATATTCTGGACTGTTCCTTGTGCTATCTGCAGAACAGATCTTAGCTAAGATGTTTGTAATATTATCGTGGAACCTAATTGCATCATATTCAATTGTTGCAATGGCTCAACAACTGTGTAGGGAGAAAAAACTACCTAACTTTCATTTCTCTTACGGTCACTAGTCTCGTTTAGGTATGTTTTGGACTACTTGTAGTTTTAGAAATAAATCTCTTGAACTACTAGGATAAGAAACATATGAACCTTAGAAAATTCCCTTGACAAATAGGATAAGAAACATATGAACCTTAGTAAATTTTAAGAAACATATGGCCTGCACGAACAGTTTTCACATGCCAAATATGACTTGTGACAACTGACGGAATATTATTCGGACCTATAGGTTGGGATTTAGAGCCGAATACGCCCAAAACTTAGTCAAAAAATGGCGTTTCGGGGGCGAAAATTCAAAATAGCCCCCGAACCTCCGTTTGGCCGACACAAGCAGCTTCCCCATGCCAAATGAGGCTTGTGACAACTGATGAAATGTTATTCAGACCTATAGGTTGGGATTTAGAGCCGAATACGCCCAAAACTTAGTCGAAAAATGGCATTTCGGGGGCGAAAATTCAAAAGAGTCCCCGAACCTCCGTGTGGCCAAAACGAATAGTTTTCTCATGCCAAATATGACTTGTGACAACTGACGGAATATTATTCGGACCTATAGGTTGGGATGTAGAGACGAATACGCCCAAAACTTAGTCGGAAAAAGGCGTTTCGGGGGCGAAACTTCAAAACATCCCCCGAACCTCCGTCTGACTCTCACGGGCAGCTTTCCCATTATAAATAGAACTTGTGACAACTGACGAAATGTTTTAAACTTGCTAATTTTGTGAACGTACACATGTGTGTTATAATTTTTATCACATGTTCTAATATCCTCTCTAAAATGGCATTGACATACATTAATAAGCACCGATGGTTTTGTGTATTTTTGGGTCCAATTCTAATATTTTTTTTTTTGTTTTTTGGAGATAACTTCACTGCGTGGACTTGCAGAGATATTTTTGTGTCTGGAGAAGAGCTTATGGTTTATTTTTGTTTTAAAAACTCAATTTTATTACCCTCTTTCCAGCTGGGAATCTGGGAAATTGAAATATTTAGAAGTTTCAAAAACTCATTTTACTCTTGGTTTCCATTTTGATATCTGGTAAAATGAAAGGTCAGATGATCAAGAATGCTGCTGTTATTGGTTCTCTTTTCTTTTCTTTTCTTTTTTCATACATTCTCGGTTTTTTTTTCATTCTCCCTTTTGATGGATCCACTACTTTTGAAAATGTGAAAATTGTTTTATTTTACTTTTCCCCCCCCCCACTACTGTTTCTTGGAAAGTTTTCAATGTACTTTTTTTCTAAAATTGTTCTTAATACAATGAATTAAAATTGTTCTGTGCGACTCATTTGAATAAGAAATGCTGACATAATTGAACTTATTGATGAAGAGTCTTGTACGCTTCGTTCTTGTTGATTAAGGTGTGTGGGTGTGTGGATCTCTGAGAACTCTCAGGTATCACTTGTGTGTGTGCACGCATGTTGTTGTTGCCGCCTTATTATGGGTCCATGTTTGGATGTCATGCATTAGTTAATAGATATTACTCTCCTCGTCACTTTAATGTTTGAAATTATTACGATATATATATGTCGTCCAGAAGTGCCTCTACACGTACCGAACTAATGATTTTTTCCCCCTTTTTTGCAGATGTTTTTGGACATACAAAAGTGGATATGTTTTTGTTGACAAGTACGTGAGGACATTGTGGTACAAAAGTGGATATGTTTTTATATAGTGGTTTGTACAAAATATTTTTTTGGTAGAGTAAATATCAGCTAATTTGGTAGAAATTAACATAGCACGTGGTACAAAATAGTTTTGTGGCAGTATAGAATATAATTTTTGTTGTGGTACAGAAGTTATAGGTGTACAATTAATTTCGTTATTCCAGTATTATGTATGGAATTAAATTCTTGACGTGGGATTAGACATGGTTCTTATGAAATTTGTAATATATATATAAGTGGACGTTCAATATTAATTTTTTGGATGGTTGGAACTGAAATGTGTGCACGTTGTTGAATGCTTGATAACATATTTACCGTTGATGGATTATATTGTTTATACAGGGTACAGGTTGTATTAATAATAGATTTAGTGATGGATTAATTTGTACAGGTTGTTTATAGAAAATTTTATTTAAAAAAAAAAAAAGTATTTGGCTACCAAATATTTTGGTAGCCAAATACGTAATAGTTATTCTCAAATTATTTGGCCACCAAATATTTTGGTCTATAATAGTTATTCTCAAATTATGGTAGCACTTTTAGTGACTAATTTTTTAGTGGTGGAAACATACCTTTTGCCGACTAAATACAAGCTAGTAGCCAAATGTGTACTTTCGGCGACTAATAATTTAGTAGCTAAAAGTGATACCTTTTGCAGACTAAATACAAGCTAGTAGCCAAATGTGTACTTTCGGCGACTAATAATTTAGTAGCTAAAAGTGATACCTTTGCCGACTAAAAAGAAGTTAGTAGCCAAATGTAGTCATTCGGCGACTAATACATTAGTGGTGGAAAACATACCTTTTGCCGACTAAACACAGGTTAGTAGCCAAAGGTGGTCACTTTCGGCGACTAAAAAAATTTTAGTCGCCAATACTATCGCCGACAGGGTAAAGGCGACAAGCTTAGCGACAAAATATGTGACTTTTGGCGACCAATATTTTGGTAGCCAAAAGTGACATTTCTTGTAGTGTATCCATGGTTATTTTGTATTCCCTATACTCTTGGCATAATATTTCTTACTCTGCTGTGTGCTTATAGTTGTTACCCTTTCAGGTGACGAGATGTAGGGGGAAACCCATAGCCTCACAAAATGGAACCCGTACATGGATTACTGTTGAACCACACTTTTTTTATCTCTTTTTTTTTTTTTTTTTTTCCTTTTGTTCTACTCGGGGCCGGTCACTGAATAATAAAATAATTGAAGCCCTATAGATGTATTTTCTTTAACTGTTTTAAATAGTAAAATGAAGTAAATTTACTGTTTAATTATTTTTATATCCGCTCGCTTAGTTTAATTTGCTACGAATAAAATAAGTTAGTAAATTGCGATTCCAACCCTAAGCCCCTGGGATTGAGTCATGACAACGAGGCCATGTAGTAGCAGAGAGAGAGATGTAATCGAAAGGAGGGTCATTTTTTTGGCAGCCTTTCTGCTCTGCTCAGTCTCTCTATTCTGTCTCTCGAGGAAGAAGAAGATCGAAGTAAGTGATGAAGAAGTGATGGAAGAGAGTGAGGTGATGAAGAAGAAGCAGACGAGTGTGATTAAGAAGAAGGCTGAAGAGAAGGCTGAAGAGAAGAAGACAATGAGGGAGAGATAGCCGAGGCAAGCGGCAATCGAGGAGAGTTGCTTTTGTCAGCCAATAAAGCAAAAGCTAGGCCGCGTGACAACCGCATTTTGCGAAAAAAGAGAGAGACGCAGAAGAGTTGTATATGTATGCATATATGTATATATATTGTATAGCTATGTAATATATATATATATATATATTGATTGTCTATTTTTTTGATGCCATTTATCCCTATCATTTTCCTCCTCCAGATTCTGACCCATGATTTCTTTTTAATAATGTCACAAGGGGAGAAAACTTATGATGTTATGATGTTATGTATTATGGTATTATTTTCAAACTAATCTAATGTTATGTATTTATAGTTTGATATCTTAGTCTCATGTCATATCTCTAATTAAAGCTGATTTATTACACATGTGCTAAAAACTTATGATGTTATGTATTATGGTATTATTTTCAAATTATGGTATTATTTTCAAACAAATCTGATGTTATGTATTTATAGTTTGATATCTTAGTCTCATATCATGTTTCTAATTAAAGCCGATTTATTACACATGTGTTAACTTATGTATTTAGAAATGAATTCAGGAAGCATGACTTGAGGGGGAGCTTTTCTTACTCTCAAATTAAATCAAAACATCATTGTGTGCCATCATTAAAAATGAGGAGATTGTTAGACTTATTTATTTTCATGATTTATGTAATTATGTTTTAATTTATTTGGAAGAGAAAAATAGAATCAAAATTTATTTTGATGATTTATTTGAAAGAGAAAAATAGAATCAACATTTATTTTGATGATCTTATGTTTTAATTTATTTGAAAGAGAAAAATAGAATCAAAATTTATTTTGTCCTATTATTTCTCACCTAAACCTTTATTCTAAATATTGTTAGAATCTATTTAATATTTGATTAAATCAAGAGTTTAAACAGCCCAAAAACAGAGGTTCAAACCGCCCAGCACAGTAGCAGTTCAAAAGGTTCAAAAGATTCAAGTAGAAGATATTCAAATTTATAATGATGGAGAGCAATATATTCAAATGAATACAACGGCTATAAACGGTTATAAGTTTTATTATATATACCAAAATCTCTAATGTAAACAAGTTACAAAAAAACAAAACAAAAAAAACCAGAAAACATTCCTTGATCAAAAATCATTCTCATTTATTCTCTGAGAAGTGTTCTTCAATTTTTGTTTACATCCTCTCTCAGAAATTATACACTGAGTTTTATAGCATTAAGCTCATCTTTCCTTATCTTTCCTGTGTGAGGTTTACAGAAAATCCAGAGCTTCATTTTTATATCTATCTTTAAGAGATAATTCTTGTAGCTTTTTATGAAAGCAAAAACACTTTCTTTTCAACCTTGTAAGAGTGACTTAGAAAGTCTGTGTAAAATCTGTGGAGGATTGCTCCATTTGTGAAAAGGTTGTTAGCACCCTATGAAGCTATAGAATAGTGAAAAATCTCAAGTAAAGCTTGAGGAGTGGACGTAGGCCGAGTTGAAACCGAACCACTATAAATTTGTTTGTCTCTCTCTCCTTTATTTTTTTATTTTATTTAAATTGCTATAACTATATTTCACATTTTCGTTGTGCTAAAATTATTAACTGACATAGTTGTTAGAACACATGTTTTAATTATTTTTATTTCATTAACTATATTTATCTATTGTGTTAGTCATAATTTTTATTAAGGTATTATTATTTTTATTTGTAAAAACTTAATTATTGGTTGGCATTAGAGGGTTTTTTTTTTCAAAGCTGCTACAGGGCCCGAAATTCTTAGGCTCAGATTTGTCCTGAATTCAAAACGATGTTGTTTTGGAATTATTATTAATTTTTTTTTCCTTTCCTTTCGTTTTGGAATTTTCTCTTTTGAAGATGAAAAGAGAACAACAGCAGAAGAAGAAGAAGAAGAGAAGGAACATCTTCAAATCATCAACAACCAATGTCTTCATCAACATCTTCAACATCTTCACCAAGATCCAGTAGGAAAAAAAAAAATCATCAACAACAACATCAACAACATCTTCATCATCATTAAAAAAAAAAAAAAAGATTCAGATCATCAGCCCAAAAAAATAAATAAATAAATAAATAAAAATCAGATCCGATTCAGATTTGATTCAGATCCGATTCAACTCTAGCTCCGATCACTGCCATCACCGCGTCTTCTTCTCTTCCTCCTCTTTCTCCCCCTTCTTCTCTCTTCCTTTTCTCTTCTCTCCTTGTTCTCTGTCATTTCTCGTCTTCTTCTCACCTCTGTCTGTGTTCAAAGGAAGAAAAAGAAAAGAAAGAAAGAAAAGAAAGAAAAAGAAAAATAAATAAAACTCAAAACGACGTCATTTTAAATTTCAAGTCAATTCGGACAAACCGATTTCGAGCCCTTAAACAAATTTTTTTTTTCTTTCCTAAAAAAATTCAATAAATTAGTAGTATTTAAAATTGTACGAAACACGGCGAAAGCATATTGCTCTCTCTCACCTCGCTCGCTCAATGTCGGTCATCTGACTTTGATCGTGTCGTATAAAAAGGTTTTGGCAATCCTCTGCTCTTAGCGTAACAAAACCAGCCATGCACTCAACTCTCTCTTCCTAAACTAGTTGAAGATTTACAAGGTAAACTCTCTCAGATCTCTCTCTCTCTCTATTTTTTCTGCTCATCACATCTGTATGCACGTCTCTATCTTTATATATACTATACAATCATAGACCTCTACTCAACTGTCCACATCTACTAATTCGATTCTCTAATTAATTCCCAAGGCTTGAATATTATCTGTACAGATCGCGAATTCATTCAAGTAAGTTATTGTTGTCGTGTTTACTGTTGGATCTGATTGAATTTTGCTGTCCTGCTTTATTGTTTTTCGTGGATTTGAAGTTCGTTGATCTCAATTTGTTACCTTTGTGTGGTAATTCCTTGGATTTGTTGAGTTTGTGATTGCAAATTGTGGGTCTTCGCTGTTTTTGTTGTAGATCTGTGTGATATAGTTTTTTCTGCGATTTTTTATTCATTTTAAGTTCAATTCAGTGAAAAGATTGTATATTGATGTGGTTTATGGTTTAGTTTAGGTTTTCATTTTGATAGACGTAAGTGTTGAATCTTGGGTCT